CAAGCCCGTAATGACTCACGTCAAGGATGAGGATATACTAGTGATTCTCTGGACGGGTTCCATCAACAGTTCGCGCAACCCGACCCTGCCCATCCATCATCATACATGGCCTCCTTTGTGCGTTTCACAGAACTGGCGAAAGCCCTCTGATTTTTTGAGCAATTTCTGTTCGGTTTCCCTGATAGAGTCGTACGCGGCGAGATAGTCGCGATAGGCGCGTTGGATGTTGAGGAGTTCGTTGCTGAGCAGGTCGGCCCACTGGCCCGTTCCCGGTTGTTGTTCGATGATCTTGAGGCAGATCTCGAGCGTGTTGAGCAAGGAGCTGTTGACGGAGACGACGGCCTCGATCTTGCCGAACATGGAGGTGGCTTCGTACTTGTCGATGATCTTCGTCTGGGACGATTTCGAGAAGGTCTTGAGTGGGATCGCATAGGATTGGTTGAGGGCAGCGATTCGTTTGAGATAGGCTCGTTCGGTGACGACGAGTTCGGTGAACAGGGCGTTGATCGCGGGTTGGTCTGTTGTCGGTCTTAATGTGGCCTGTTGCCCAATGCAATAGAATCAGTTGAAAATTCTTTTTTTTTGACCCAATCTTGATCGGAGGGCGTACATGGTTGAGGGCAGCTGTTAATGATTTGGTATGTCCAGCTGGTCCTCCAGACGCAGTAGTTGATCTTGTGTCGGTGGGGCTGAAAGGATCGAGCCGTTCGCCGAGAGACCTGAGGAAGAAGACCAATTCTAGGGAATAATAAAAGTGGATTAGAGAGAGTAAGATGAGATTGGATTGTGTGCTGTACTACTAACCTGGGGGGACTTGCCATCCTTCGCCGGGCTCGTTTCCGCCACCCATTCCTTCTACGACGACATCGATCAGAGTTGATTGGGTGGTTGGTGGTGGCTGGTTGAGGTTTGTGAGTATGGGTAGTGGTGGTAGTTGGTTGAGTGCTTGTAGTGAGGGTGGTGTTTTGTTCATGTTAGTTTGAGTTGTTGTTGACTGAGTTGTTTGAGTTGTTGTTGTTGTTGATAGTGTTCTGGATGGGTTGTATGAGATTGGTCTTGGTTTGGTGAGTGATTGGTGGTGTTTGAATGCTAGTTGTGTTGGTTTGGGTGAGGTAGATCGTCTGTCCATGATGTTGTTGATGGATGTTGTTGTTGTTGTTGGTAATGTTCCTTTTTTCTTTTTTTTCTTTTTTTTTTTCCTTGAAGACTTGAAAGGAAAGAAAGGAAAGTTGGCTTACATATTATGACAGTGGGTCCGAGCAATCTGCAGGGGCTTAACTTAACATTTCACAGCGATCAATCATCACTCAATCACCACCAAACTTTGTAAGCAACTTTCATACAAGAAAGTTCGAGAATTCGGTTGCTTACAAATTATAAAGAGAAACTCAAGAGAAGAGCATGAAGATTCAAAGTTAATTCCGCCATCCAACCCAATCCAAGCCTTCAACAACATAAATCCATGTAAAGGGCATAGCAATCACATACATATTTACTTCCCCAGCCAGCAGATTACCACCAATTGGACCAAGACCAAGGAATGATTCACCCAGAAATTAAACAGAGCTTGCAGCTGAATCATTTATACTCTGGACCATCTCATCTCAGAGAAAAATCCATTCAACCAAACCCAAATTTGTTGTATATCTATCCACCCACTTCTCAAGAAAAATATTCAAACTAGTTTGCTTGATATGACAACGATCATGGATTGCTTTTTCACTTGGAGAAACCACTTGAATGGGGCCCAGTTTCTCAGCAGCAGCAGCAGTCCTCAGACAACATGCCCTGGTCCAGCTCTCCACATAATAGATACATTCC